CTCCCTTTTTATACAGCCCATCCTACCTTTAAATTTTTATTAATTTTCATATAAAAATTCTAAACATATATTATTCAAGTGTGTTTGTAGGATTAAAAAAACAATTAATAAAGGTATTATATTTTAATGAATCATTTATCAAAACATGAAATAAACATCGATTAAGCAGTCGATTGTTTATAAATTTATATTGAATGAACTATTTAATTTTAGAATTTGTGTATAAAAATCACAAAAAAAGTCATTCAAATACAATGCTTCTAACGGGACCTTATATATATATAACTAAAGCTGTGATAAATTTGAGTTGGCCATCTCTGCAGCTGAATACAATAAGTAATAATAACTAAATTCAATTGGTTTCTATTCGGTAAATGTTCATCATTGTTATTACCTATTTTAATAAAAATAATTGATTTTCCATAATATTATATCCTCGATGTTAACGTGTGAGAGATTTTCTTTGTTTTGTAGATAACTGAGTACCGTTTAAATATCTAGTACATTAATCAAATAGATTCAACAAATGAAACATGATCGATATTATTAATTACATTTTGAAATTGAATTTTTTGATGATTATAATATCAGATTTCCACTTCAAAGAATTAAAATTCATTAAAAAAAAACACGGGTAGTATGACTCAAATGGCTTTGATTTTGAGTGAGACCGTGTAAAGCAATTATTTATTTTATTTATTTTGTAATCACAGTTTTTCTCAGACTCCTTCAAATGACTTTTTATAATAATATAATAATATTAGTAATGAATAATAATAATTAAACAACATAAATTATTATTTTCCACATACTATTTAAAATACACGTTTGCATTGGTATACTTGCAGATATCATCAATGCAAGATAACTCTCAAGCTGTGTTCGTAAAGAGTTCATTAGTGTTCAAACGGCCAGGAATATACGTGGTCAACGTCCAAGGAGAATCGATCATCGATGGGGTGTCCACGTTGTTATTAGGAAACGTCAAGCTGTGGTACGTGTGGGTCACGTAATCGATAGTAACGTTTTTGCCCACAGATAATTAAGTTTTGAGTCACTATATTTGTGCCAACAGGTTTATTGGTGACAAAGGCGTAATCAGAAGCTCTGTGGAATCTCGATATCTACAGGGACACATAAACATCGATTGGGTAATATCGCCACCACAACACATTTGGGGAGCGGTTGACGTTGAATACGCGCTGAACAAAATGTCATACCAAAAGCTATTTTCTAAAGTATACTTCATTGCYCCCGAGAACAGTGTCAGTCAAATAACCTTTGGTGCACGTGTCACCGCCAACAATAAATGGACGTACGTCACTCTCATTGTATAATGTTACTCATAACTATATAGTATAAACATATTTTGATAAATATATAGATTATTATCGTGTCTATATTTGAACATGATATGGCATAAAACTTATTATTATGCGCCTGAAGTTTAGGGATTATAGGTAATTGGGCATTARTATAATAATATGTTACAAAGCTATTTAAGGCGTCATAATGTTGTATAATATAATCACTGAATTTCACGTGTATAAACTATAAACACACATGCGGAGCGGTTTTGTGGTAGAAAAGCACAAGAAATACAGATATAGTATTAAACAATAGGTATTTATGTAGTACMTATAAATGACTTATTGTTTTCATTTTAGATATYATACAACACTAAATGTACTGTTCTATAATAATTTACGAGACATCTTAAATTAGAAAATAAATACTAAATACATTTAATTCCCCCTAAATCACCTTCCGTGTCACGCCTATGGCCTATAATCAAWTCTAATCCGACCGATCTACACACGAATAATTGTAAAGAATTATATTAAAATGAAATCCAATAATTTACAAGATAACTTAATTACTACATCGTATTATGCAAAACGCAAATCCYTAGTCGAAATGAACGCGCTATAGAATATAATTTGAAGATAATAATTATTTAAAACACGTCACGATCTCATAATATTCAGATTATAAGCTACCCAAAGTGGCCTAAATCATAATCTTTCAGTACGCGGATAGCCAGGGCCAGCGCTATACATAATTCATAGGGGTTGATTAAAAATTGTTTACTCAAAATACCAAATTCGCTGACATTTTTTTTTTATATTTATATGGTTATATGTATATTAAATACCTAATAAGTCATTTGTATATAATATATAGGTATATATTATATACAAATGACTTATTCAGTTATACGTCTTATACTAACTACTAAATACCTAAATAATAATAAATTTGACTAAAATATGTTGAAGACGAAGTTGAGCGTAGTTACGTATTTACT